TCTTCATTTAGGGTCTGATCCACTTCCCATTACATTTAAAGGGAGTCTTTTACCAACTTCAGTGACAGTGGGATATGATCCTTTGAGCACAAGAAAAATGCCAGTCACCTTTTATAGCAATGGTGGGCAACCTGCAGCACATCAGGATTATCTGATGGCGAGCTGCGAGACAGTGTTTACATTTGGATTTGGACTAAATTCAACCTATGATGTGTGACCAATTACAAATACAAACTATTAACAGTTGTTTAAAAAGCACACTGGAAGTTAGAAAAACATGTAAAGTTTTCCTCCTGTTTTACTTTTCTTTCTTTCAGAATTTTTTTTATAAAATTGCAGAAGGGAAGACATATTTTATATATGATTTTTTTAGAAAAAGCCATGATATTCCTGTTAATATCCTTCTCAACTAGGTAAAAAACACAAGACAGGAAGTTGGTGAATAATGCTAAAAATTACACACAAACTTCTGGGTTCCTATCACAACATGAGCTACTCAGCCTTCCCTCATGTCGTTAGCACAATATCATTGAAGTCCCTAGGTATGTATAGCCTTTATAGCTCAGTAGCCTGTGTCATGCCCTTTATATAGTCTAACATGAGAATTGTGGGTCACAGCCTATTTTATTCCAGAATGCACCATCAAAGCCATCTGGGTGAGCTTGTAGCTATGCAATGCACCACAGTGTCCAAGTTCAGACCCCAAGTTCCCCATACCTAGGGTGACCAGACATCCTGATATTAGGGGATTATTCTTATACATTTTTCTTTCTCTCTCCACCCCGAAAAATAAAGTGTCCCAATTTTTCACACTTGCTATCTGGTCACCCTACCCAGACCAGCAAGAGATGGGAACACTACAAAGACACATGGGTGCTGGAACTAGGGGTACAGGCAGTGTTGCTACTCTCCCTGCCTTGAAGTAGTTTCCGTTATATACAGGGTTTACAGTTTGGTTCAATGGCTCTCAGCAACCCCATACAAATTGTTCTAGCACCCCTGCAAAGACATCATACTCAACTCCTTGGAGTGATCCCATCTGAGCATCCAGGATGGAGCCACCGGACCCTTGAAAGAGGATCACTTCAGTCAGTGTCAAGCTTTTGAGGTGGGCAGGGGAAAGTAAATGGAGAATATGGAAATTCTAGTGGACTGAAGATTTAAATATACACAGAGATACACCTATCCTCTCATCCTAGATGAGGTTCCTCTCACCTTTGTGATAGCTAAAAAAGGCTTATGTGAGGACACTGGCACTGCCATGATGTCAGTGGCCAGTACATGGACAGTCATGCCTAGTGGTTGGCACAGGCACCAGAGCCCAGAGTCAGAGCCTAGGTGCCAGAACTGAAATTAGGAATCAGATCCAAGGATCAGACATAGGTTACCTGAAGTGGAGCAGGGCTAGAACAAGCACACACAGGAGCTAGCTCAGACATGAGTACACGATTTGAAGAGACACTGAACTGCTGCTGGGCTTAAGTGCTGGGCTGCTGACACTTCAAACCAATCCGGCGATCTAGTCAATCAGGCAGCCAACTACAGGCCAGCTGTTTTTGTTAGGTTACTAGGAGCGTGGCTCTGCTGAAGGTCCTGATTCCTGGAACATGGTTTGTGCTGTACCTTTTCTGAGGATACATAAAGGACCCCAGTCTCCCTTCACATCATTATACCCAATGTGCCTGTTTTAAAGAAGAAAAACTTATGGTAGGGGCTAATAGTGTCCTTAATTGATTCTACCTGCTCTACTAATCACACCTGAGTGTCTAAGTTTCTGATGCTCCTCTCACTTATGTAAAGCAGGAGTATCTCCAATGAAGCCAACAGAATTACACCAGTATAAAACTGGAGGAAAATAAAGATTTTTGTTCCTAAAGCAATCATTCATTTATATAGGTTTCAGAGTGGTATCCATGTTCGTCTGTATCAGCAAAAAGAAGGAGGAGTCCTTGTGGCACCTTAGAAACTAACAAATTTATTTGGGCATAAGCTTTCGTGGGCTAAAACCCACTTCATCAAATGCATACAGTGGAAAATACTGTAGGAAGATATATATACACAGAGAACATGAAAAATGGGTATTGCCATACCAACTCTAACAAGACTAATCAATTAAGGTGGGCTGTTATCAGCAGGAGAAAAAAAAACTTTTGTATATAGGTTTTCACACACTAAGGATAGTTACATTAGATAGGATAAGATGTATGAGGGCCAGGGCTGGCTCCAGGCACCAGCTTGTCAAGCAGGTGCTTGGGGCGGCTGCTCCGGAGAGGGGCGGCACGTCCAGGTATTTGGCGGCAGTTCGGCGGACGGTCCCTCACTCCGCCTTGGAGTGAAGGACCTCCCGCCGAATTGCCGCCACAGATCGCGATTGCGATCGTGGCTTTTTTTTTTTTGGCTGCTTGGGGCGGCCAAAACCCTGGAGCCGGCCCTGATGGGGGCTATAAAACCCTCTTGCTTCAGGATACAGCCAATCTCTAGCTGATAGGTGTTGAGAAGAAACTTCCCCTATGAGCAAGTTGTGCCATAATTGTCCATTATGGGGATTCTTGCATCTACTTCTTACACACCTGGTGAAGGCCACTGCCGGAGACAGGATTCTGAACTAAATGAACCAATGGTCTGAGTGTGACAATTCCTATGTTTCCCTGGTGCAAACTGTTATAGCTTCATAATGGAGCTATGAGAATTTATATCAGTAGAGGATCTGCCCCATAATATTTTGTAAGATAGCTCATTGAATAGTCAAAATTGGGTAATCAAGGCTACTATGCTGGGTTTTCTCCATAAAATCAGACAAAAGATAGTCATTTTCAAACCGACTTCTATTCTCCAGGTCCTTTCAAAGAAAAACAATGTAATGGTCAGTAGAGATCTTTTAGAAATGGTTTTAGAGAAAATCGTATATGTCAGCATTCATTATATCTTCTGAATAACAATCTCACACTAATTTTCCTCCCAGGTGTCAGTTACACTGATATCAAAGCAATTGCATTTGAGAGGAAACTATGGCCCATTACTCATAAAGTGATTTTTTTTTACTGTAAAAAGGAGTAGTAGTGGGGATTTCATGTCTGTTTTACAAAGGCAAATTAGTGCTCAAGAGAAATACAGGCCAGAACAATGGTACCAACACTCAAGAATACGACTTTGAGAATTCTGAGCTTAAATGAACCATAAAAGGCCTTTCTATGTGTATTCAAAGCCATACGTGACAGGAAAGCAATTTACTCACTGTCTCCTGGAACTCCCCTGCATTGCTGGGCAAGAACAGATGCTGTGCTTCCCCAAAGGAGAGTGTAGGGTGGAGCGGGTCAGGCCATGGCCATACTATCTCCCTGCATCTTCTATTCCACTTTTTAGGCATCTTGTGTCCCTGGAAGCAGTTTCTGCACTCAGGAGATCGCAGAGATTGCAGTTATGGCAAACCAATGCACTGCTCCTTGTGCCTTCTCCCTCATGCATGTTTTGTACTAGCTGAAAGGTCACAGCTGTCCAATGTGGTCACAGTTGTCCCAGCTACCGCAGCGGAGCCACTGGCCCTTTAAATCACCGCCGGAGCCCTGCCGCCACTACCCTGGGGCTCCAGCAGTGGGGCTTGGGCAGCTCATTAAAGGGCCTAGGGCTCCCTGCAACAGCCAGAGCCCCGGCCTCTTTAAATCACTGCTGGAACCATACCGCCACTACCCCAAGGCTCCAGCACTGGGGTTTGAGAGGCGATTTAAAGGGCCTGGGGCTCCGGCCGCTGCAGGGAGCCCCGGGCCCTTTAAATTGCCAGCCTGGGGAAGCCGGTCTGGTCCGAAACGGCATACTGTCTCTTGTCAGTACACCGGACTGGACTGGACTGGATCCATTTACTTTCACCTCTGTCGCCATCCCAGTCCTATTCTCCTTGCCTACCCTAATTGCAGTCACCAGTCCTCTTCTCAATGCTTGCCTCCGGTCTCCCCCTCCCACACTCATCTTCCCCATCCCCATGGGTTCCCAGTCCCATTCTCCCTCCCTAGACTCCTTGTCTAATCACAGTACTTTCCCCACCCCATCCCGGCTCCTTAGAACACTATTTTTTGCCCAGCCATTTCCACTTCTCCCCCCACACACTCATCAGATCTCTGACCCTTCCCTTTCCTCCTCCCCTTATCCCACTGCTTCTCAGTCCCAGGTACCTTGCCCAGCCAATCCCAATCTCTTCCCAGTTCCTCATCTGACCTCAGTCTCCCCCCACCTACTGGCTTCTAGTGTCCTCCTCCCACATACACACACACACATTTCTGTCTCCAGCTCTCAGTCCCAGTCTCCCCCACCCCAGCTCCCAGTCCCCTTTTTCCTCTTCTGCCGCCCCTATCCACTAGCCTCCTGCATTCAGTCTTCCACAAACTCCTTGTCACACTCTGCTCTCTCCATCCTCCCACCACTGGCTGGCTAGCTTCTATCATCTCTTCATTCTTCCTCCTACATGAAGCCTGGGCCCAACAGGGATGTCACTGAGAGCACAGAAGTTCAGTCTCTGTTCAATTGCTTGGAACTGGATGCAGCATGGCTCACAGCAGCCCAGACCTGCAAGTGCAGGGAAAGTCCCACTCAGCATTGGGCTGGAGCATTGGGGAATTCAGTGGGTGAAATCTAAGAAGTCTCTACTGAGCATCTGTGGACTGTGACTTTTAAAGGCTTATAACTTGGCCAAATGTGGGCAGATTTTCATGGTAATGGTAAAAGGGACACTGCTAACACGAAGGCTGCTCTCCTGCCAAATGTCAGGTCCCTACTCCAAAGCATGGGGCACTAGATCTGCTCAAAGAAAATGTCACCAGAATCTTTAACATGGGCAATACAGCATATTTTTCCATGGATTGTTCTCAAAAATGGCCGAACCATTTTCGCTGAAGTTTTCCCAGCATGGAACATTTTATCCCAAATAGCAAAAGTTTGGCAAAATTATAGGCAACTCTGTAGCGCAACTACAAAACTTCTAACTTACGTGGAATGGCTTGAGTCCTCACTTCTATAGAAAGGTTATTTGCAATCTTCCACACATGTTTACCTCTTGACCAGGCATTTACAACACATAAATAAGTTCCACTGTCAGAGTCAGTAACATTCAAGATGGTCATATTATGGACTACATGTGTCTTGTCTGAATCTAAGCTTGTATAGTTCAATAGTCGTCCTTTGATCATCTCATCAATACAGCAATGTGTATTATATGAGAAAGTATATAGCTCTCTCTCAACAGAAATCAGGCATTTGCTTGTTTCTGTATATTTGATCCAATATATAATAAATGGTTGTCCTGAGCGCTTCATTTGAAATTCACAAGAGAGAGTGATGTTACTTTCTTCTTGTACTAACTGATTATTGTGTGATTTTGCAGGAATGGTCTCAAATGTCTCCTTATCTGCAATACAGAATGAAACAAACACAAAAGATATGACAAACATGCAATGTGACATATTATAACATGCTTTGGCTTTGAAAAGATTCTTTGAAGTTTGAAAAATTTCCCAATGAAAACACAATCTCAGATACAGAATTCAGTGCAAAAACATTGTTTCATTTCTATTTAGAGTGGGGGGAAGTAATAATGAACAATTTACAAGGCATTTTTACATTAACAGGTGCAAATACCTATTGTACTATGACTAGAAGTCAGCTATTTTAAATAGTCATTTGGGGCCCAATCCTGTGAGGTCTGAGTACCTTCTGCAAAGTTGCCAGCACTTGCACATTCCACTGAAGTTGAAGGTGCTCAGCTCTGCACAGAAAGTTCTTAGCACTGCATGTTCAGTCCATTGGTGGTCATCAAAATAACAATTCATGGGATGGACCGGCTGTCTACTGGCACCACAAAACTATGCTACCCCTCCACAGATATATGTCCAGTTTCACTGAGAAAACCTCTGGGACTTAGGAACACATGAAGGAATTCTTCCACTCTACTCTACGCTGATAAGGCCTCAACTGAAGTATTGTGTCCAGTTCTGGGTGCCACATTTCAAGAGAAATGTGGACAAATTGGAGAAACAAAATGATTAAAGGTCTAGAAAACATGACCTATGAGGGAAGGTTGAAAAAATTGGGTTTGTTTAGTCTGAAGAAGAGAAGACTAAGAGGGGGCATGATAATAGTTTTCAAGTGCATAAAAGGTTGTTACAAAGAGGAGGCTAAAAAGTTGTTCTGAGGATAAGACAAGAAGCATGGGCTTAAATTACAGCAAGGGAGGTTTAGGTTGGAGATTAGGAAAAACTTCCTAACTGTTCGGGTAGTTAAGCACTAGAACAAATTGCCAAGGGAGGCTGTGGTATCTCCGTCATAGGAGGTTTTTAAGAACAGGTTAGACAAACACCTGTCAGGAATGGTCTGGTTATTACTTAGTCCTGCCTTGAGTGTAGGGGACTGAACTAGATGATCTATTGAGGGCCCTTCAGTCCTACACATCTATAATTCTATGATAACATCTGGGAAACCACATTCTCACACTGCAGTAAACACATGTTGTCATTTCTGCTGCCTGGTTCAGGGTCTGCCCTGGCCTAAGTGCTGATAGTATCAACTACAAGATACATTAGACAAATGGCTGAAAAAATGTGAAATTGTGAAACAGCTATTAAAGATTAAATATTTTCTGGATAAAGTAGTTGAAGTGCAGTGTATATTAAACAGGACATTCAGAGAGCAGTCGTTTTTAATATGTGCATGAACACATTTAAAAACAACAATGGCCTGTAGAGTAAGATTCTGCAGCATTTATAAGGTCAAATTTTCAACTAACCTCAAACCAGGCTCCAAATTGCAGATACAACATTTAGCAAACACCTGTTATGTGTACTCAACAAATATTTGCACACACAAATTTGATACTTAGGTGCCTTGTCTGCACAAATAGTTGTTTGCATGTGCAAAATAGGCACAAAACCAATTTTGTGAGTATGATCGATTGAAAGCTTAAAACACTAGAGGTAAGATTCTGTGCTGTGCCTTTAAATGCACAGAACAAAACTGACAACCCAGGCGGAGAGGGGCTAAGGTGGCTTTAAGCAGCCCTCAGTACAATTTAGGCAGCCCTGAGGGACAAGTGCCCTGAATTTAAGCAGTGCTGTATTCTGCAGCCTGGCCCCAAGCCAGACCTGCTATGTCAGGATTTGCAAGAGTGTTGCTGAAAGCACAGTCTGCTGCTGTCTTCCTTAGTTCCTGTGCCAAGGGGGAATTCTACCCAGACCAGATGCTGATTTTAGAGACCCTTTAGCCCGTTTACCTGGCCAGAGCATGGTTGAGAATCTCACTCTAGGGGCAGAAATTCCAAGAGCAAGGCAGAAAACTGGGCATTAGTGTTTTACAATCTGTGAGCCAGATTGCATGAATCAGTGTAGTCCCACAGCCCACCATGTAGAAGGATCCCTTCGCCTACCAACTTTAAAGTAGAAAGGTGGCAGATAAACTGCACCAACATGTAGGGTTACCATACGTCCGGTTTTTCCCAGACATGTCCAGCTTTTCGGCAATCAAATCCCCGTCCGGGGGGAATTGCGAAAAAGCCGAACATGTCCGGGAAAATGCCAGCAGGGCACTTCCCCTCCCGCGGCTTCTCTGCTCCTCCCCTGACTCTTCGGCTCTGTTTAAGAGCCGAACTGCCCGAGCGCTATGGGCTTCAGGCAGCCCCCTTGCCTCCGGACCCCAGCCGCCGGCCAGGCACTTCCCCTCCCGGGCTCCGGCGGCGCAGGGTCCGGAGGCATGGGGGCTGCCCAAAGCCGGTAGCGCTCGGCTCTTAAACAGAGCCGAAGAGTCAGGGGAGGAGCAGAGCCTCCGCATCTGGAGGCTCT